CCGCCGGGCCCCCCCCCCCCACGGCCCCGCGGGGACTCTGGGCAGTGCCTGCTCCTCGTCCTACTACTCCTTCCTCCTCCTTCGTGTTGAAAAGAGAACTCAAGTCAGTGACTCACGGACTTGGACTTGGACAGGCTGCCAAGAGTCTGAATGGTCTTCGAGACAAGCGTCAGCGTCCTCGATGTCTGCGGGTCCTGCCGGAGTCGGGAAGGGGACGGTCTCACAGTTGAGCCGTGAATGAGCCCAGAACCACCGCCGACAAAACGAACGACACCCCTAACAGCTGCACGGAGCGAGTGTCGTCCGTGAGTGAGCAGGTGAACTCGCTGGCGCTGGATTCGGAGGTCCCTGTGGGCCCTCCAACCCAGGTGGCTGCGAGCTGCTGACATGCAGGCTCTCAGACCACCCCTGACCCCAGACCCCACGTTTCCAGCAAAGGAGCGGACCCCCCTGGTGACCCTGGGGCTGAGTCTCCCGGGAACCCAGCCTGGGGGCCTCTCACCCTCCACACGGTTCGCAGGCTTAATTTAAAACCAGCAAAACCAGGAATGGACCCATCACCCTGGGCTTTCCGCCTGGCACTGTGGCCCCCTGGCACTCTCTCTGCAAGGGCTCGGGCCTCGGGCCTTTTCACGGTGGGAGCTCAAAAATCATCTGCCGACCACATGGCCTGAATGATGACTGATATCCATGCTCCATCTTCCTGTGTGTGGGCAGTGGGTAACGTCCTAACAAAAGCCCACAGAGGAAGCCCTGGTCACACCATCCAGCGGTTTTAACAACACAACTTTGATTAGAACGTCTTGAAACCTTCCTGAGACAAAGACATGAGGGCACGTGGCACGTTCACAACCTAAGCCACCACCTGGGGCTACCTGTGCACTGCCCCGGCTCGGCTCACGCGAGCTGCCCCGGCCACCTGCTGGCCCAGGGGGCCAGATGGTCAGGAGGTCTGGTTGACTAGTTTCCGGGACAGGTGCTCACTCACCGTGTGGTGGGGTGTGAGCTGGAAGAGGTTGGGGGACAGGATGGCTGGAGCAAAGAACCTCAGGAAGATGAAACTGCTCACGGCCGTGTACCTCACGTCCAGGTCATCTGTGGCCAGGACACAGAGACAGCGACTCACCGGGGCTTCTGGAGCCGCAGGGAATAACCGGGGGCCAGGAAGAAACTGGGAACCACTGGGACAAAGCTCGGCTGTGGCCTCCGGGTGGGGCTGGGGCCCAACTCACACAGGGGCAAGTGCAGACAGGAGCCGGGGGCCCTGCCCGCCGTGCAGCCCCCATGCTGGTGCCTGACCCTGCCCACTGGCTACGGGGTCAGAACCCTCGTTATGGGGCCCGGAACGTCCGTCTCTGGCTGGAGGCCTCCGTCCAATGACGGGTGTGAGTGTCCCCACGGTGTGGGCGCCATGAGCACTCGCCTTGGAAGCGCTTGGCGGCCGCTTCTCTCAGGGAGAAAAAGATGTCACACATGACGGTGGGGCAGCTCAGCCCCGATGCGGTGATGACGCTGAAGACGCGGTCCACGTACTGCCGCAGGTTCTCCTGCAAGGGGGGCGCTCAGTGCCGTCTGCGCCAGACTCCCCTGGGCTTCCGTGCCCCACGGCCGCCAGGAGGGGCGAGGGCGGGGCTGGGGTCCCAGAGCAGCAAAGACAGACTTCCCGTCGCGGGTCAGGAGCAGCGCGCCGCAATCACAGTGACCCACGCAACCAACCAGGGATGCGGGTGGAGGGAGCACGCTGTGTCCCCCACATTGACTGACAGCCTAGAGGCAGCGCCCGCAGCGATGTGACCTCCCGCATGCCAGGACCGGTCTCTGCTCTTTAGAGGCAAAGACTTGGCATAATTCGCATGACGAAACCACACGGAAAGATGAAAACAGGGACTTAGCTGTTTTAAAAATTGGGGCAGAGCTCCAGGAGCAGCCAGAGGTGGCTCAGGTTGGGGACCCGTGTTTGCTGAGCTGAGGGAGACGCCCCCAACCCATGGGAGGCTCCCGGTTATGGGTGGCAGGAGGTGCAGGCCGGGCACAGAGCAGGGGAGGTGGTGGCTGGCGCCGGCGGGTGGTCCCCCGAGGCCGCTGTAGCTCAGGCGCCTGCCACCGCCCACCATCCCGGGGGTCGCAGCGTCCAAGGCGCTGGAGGGCGAGCCGGGCCTCACCGTGTTGCTCTCCAGGCTCTCACCGTCCTTCAGCCTCACGGGGTCGATCTCACAGGACTTGTGACTCTGACAAATCTGCGGAGAGCGTTGAAGACACGCAGTGCGTGAGCCGAGCCTGGAGCCCAGGTGGGCGGGGTCACGGCGGGCGAGGCGGGCCTGGTCCAGGAGGGGCAGCTTGAGGCCCGGCCTAGGAGGGGCGGTCCTTCTCGAGACTGCAGCGCGGCAGGCTGACACGGGATGAGGCTTCACCAGTTTATTAACGTTTTACGTCAAAGTGCTCTCAGGGTTTGGCTCACAGATCAAACGAGAATCTATTCTCAATTCCCTCAAAGGACCGCAAGGACCGCAAAGGACCTGTTTTTTGGTGAAACTGTTCTGGGGGAAACACCCCCTCCCAGGAAGGTGTCAGTAAGAGATGGAGGGTCACTCCTCCCAGGGTGTCTGACCGGCGCAGGGGTTTGGGGTGGGGGGGGACAGCAGCAGGGCTGTCTCTCTGGCCTCGCGGATTCGGGGGAGGAGGCATCCTCGGAAGAACCAGGTTTTCTCTTGCATGTCATCCTGTCTTAGCGGAATGATGGACTTGCTTAAGCATTTTTCTAATTTGAGAAAACAAGGGAGATTCTGGGATGCTCAGAAGGTCCCCTTGGGAAGCCGGGGAGAAGCTGACATGGAAGCCACAGTTCTGGGCTTAGGTGGGGCCTGGGGCTGTGGGCTCTGTGTCACCTGCCCTTCCCTCGGGACTCTCTGGCCCGCCAGCAGCGCCCCCCTCACCTCCTCTATGGTGGGCTTCAGGGTGACGTGCAGGTAGTGCATCCCCGCCAGCTTCATCGTCTCGTCAATGCACTTGGATGTTAGCGAGTTTCCTCGGAAGATGGTATTGGGATCCCTGGAAACCAGTGTCAGATAGGGAGGCATCCAGGGGGCAGGGAGGCCACCTGACCGACGCCTCGCAATGGGGGCCTGAGCCCTGGGCCTGCCTGCCGTGTAACAAACCCACCGCGGCCACCGCCGGGTCCCCAGGGCGCAACAGCCGTGCGCCCCCCACCCTGCGCTTCGAGGGCCTCCTCTGCTCCTCAGGGCCTGGGGGGTCAGCACGGGAGGCAAAGCCCAACCTCACGACACCGCCAGCAGGGCACGCTCTGGATCCTTCTGAGCCAACAGTCCCAGGGAGCCACTCCTAGCAGAACCCACCTCCCCGGAAGGCACGCGGGCCCAGCCTCAGGAACGGAGCCGCCCCCGAGGCACCCAGTGCCCCGCTCACCGCTCCGTGCCACGTGCCTCCCAGTTCCCAGGAGAAAAGGTGCATTTTTAAAAGAGCAAGTGTGTCTCTGAAGGAACCCTGACCGTGTGGCTTCCTCTGGCCGCCCGGACCCCCGTCCAGCCCCTGACCAGGCCGGACCCCCGGAGGGTCTCGGGGCGCGCTCGGCACTCACTGGGTCCTCCGGACCTCCGCGCTGGCGATGGCACTGATGAAGGGCACCACCCGGCCGTAGTGCAGGAAGAGCCGCACCAGCGGGACGGCCGCCTCCTGCTTCTCCCGGCAGACCTCGCCCAGGATGTGGGCCGCAGACGCCGAGACGGGCTGGGGAGACAGGGCGTGAAGGAGGCGAGCCCCAGGCCCAGACCCCGGCTTCGCGTGCGCCCAGCGGGTCTGCGCCTCCCCGCCGCACCCACACACGGCACAAGGGCCGGTGAGCAGAGGGCCATGACCCTGGGGTCACTGTCAGACAGAGCGCCAGGCGTGGGCCACGCCGGGTCCTGTGGCTCTTGCTGCGGGGGGCGTGAGGGCTCCCATCCCCAGCAGAGGGAGACCCAGATGGTCCCGAACACACGGCAGGCCCCAGGTGGGGCTACGGTGCGCCAGCCACGCAGGTATACCTCCACGTCCGCTGACCGCAGAAGCAGGTCCCGCAGGGCGCTGTAGTAGTCGGAGGGGAAGACGTGGTCTTCCGTGTAAACCACGTTCAAGCGCAGGGAGCCCAGGTCCTCCGGCTTCAGGCTCTTACTGCCGTTGTCCCGGGGCTGAAGGAAGTACCTTGTGCAGGACACACGGACGAACAAGGCAGCTTGAGGCAGCGGCTCCCCAGGGACCCCGCTTGGCTGGTCCTCCCGTCACAGGCTGTGTCGGGGTCTGAGGCAAGGGGACTCGGGAGATTCTGCAGGACACCCCGCTTAAGTCCCTCTGCCTCAGTGGCCCCAACCTGACACCCCCGCAGGGTCCCTGCACCTGGGGCGTCCCCCATCTGACACCCCCGCAGGGTCCCTGCACCTGGGGGGTCCCCCATCTGACACCCCCGCAGGGTCCCTGCACCTGGGGGGTCCCCCATCTGACACTCCCGCAGGGTCCCTGCACCTGGGGGTCCCCCATCTGACACCCCCGCAGGGTCCCTGCACCTGGGGGGTCCCCCACCTGATATCCCCGCAGGGTCCCTGCACCTGGGGCGTCCCCCACCTGATATCTCCGCAGGCTCCCTGCACCTGGGGGGGTCCCCCACATTGTATACTTCGTGCTGATCACACAGAGCCACAGACTCAGATGCTGGGGTGGGGAAGCGGGAGGGTCGGGGGAACAGGTAGGACAGGAGAAGGGGTCACGAGCAGTTTAGGAAACTGCGGTAAAATAATTTTCCCCTGAAGACTGACACCCGACAGCGGCCAGCCCTGAGCAGAGCCCGGGTGGAATCACCCTCATAAGTGCACGCCGGGGTGCTGGGCTTGTGCTGCAGTGCGGGCGGCACCAGGCACACGGGTACCCAGCGGTCCTCCTGACGGCCGCTCTCCCTCTCCCGGCGCAGCCGGCGGCCTTGCAGGCACCCGGCTGCTCTGAGCGCATGTGCTGGGCGGCTGTGGGCTGAGGCACTGGCCACTGGGGCCGCCCGTCACAGCCCTGTCACGAGGCAGGGTCGCCTGGGGCACTGAATCAGGAATTCCAGTTTCCCCAGGGCACAACCCAAATTTTACCCACCCGGGTCTGCAGGCATGCAGGGCTCTGGTGTGTGGCGTGGGGTGCGTGCACCTGCCCCCGCCCAAGTGTCTGTTGCGGGGACGTGGGGAGTGAAGCCAGTCTGGGGCCGGAGCGGCCGAGACTGGCATCTGCTCCGTCATGCGATGTGACCTGGAAGCCCCAGTGAAAGGGAACCGGGCGCCCTGGAGATGAGAGAGGGAGATGGGGCGCAGGACGGTGGTCTCCGGGACACGCGAGGGTTTTGAGTGCGGTGGGGCACGGCTGGCACGGCCCCCTTCCGTGCGGAGGCCGCTGCGGGGCCCCGGGAGCCCTCACCAGGCCTCGTGGGGGCTGGACTGCCGCAGCACCTTTAGCGGGACCCTCAGCTCCCCCAGAAACTCGTCCCCAAACTTCAAGTTACTGGCGTTCCAGAGGTCCACCCTGGAAAACAGCAGTTGTGCGGGGCCTCTTACCGGGCGGCGAGGAGGGGTGGGGGCCCTGCGCCCCCGAGCTCTCCCCAGAGAACCTGGGGCACAACGGGACGGCGCCTGAAGGCCACGCTGAGCACGGCTGGAGCATGAGGTCGGGCAGTTCAGGCCCTTGGAGGGACAAGCCCGCCTGCACGGAGCCCCACCCCCATGCCTGTCACTGCTCGCGGCCGGGCTCGCGGGAGGGACCCGATTCTGCCCCCTCTGAGCTTCCGAACCTCAGGCGCCTCGGGAAACCCTGACCCACAGGAAAGCGGATTTTAAGTGATGTCAAATCTGGAGAATCCCTAGGGTTCTCGTGAGCAGGGTCCATCGGACCTAATGCGGTCACCCCAGCCTCAGGCTCATGACCTGTCCCCTGACATGGGGGCGGTGCTGCGGCCGGCGCGGCAAGAGGGCTGGTGAGTCCCCCAGCGGACGCTGCGACCTGGCACAGCGAGGCCCCCGAAGCAGCGGGACCGCGAGCCAGGCCGGGCCTTGCACACGCAGAGAGGCTCGGAGCCTTCGCCCTTCAAGCCGCGGAGGATACTGCAAAGCGAACACACACCACCTTTGACCTTTCGCCACCACCCAACATCCTCGCGTTAAAATAATCCAGAAAATGGAAGTTCCTTTCCAGCCACTCCCCAATGTTTAAAGACAAAGCAGAAAGCAAGCCCGAGAGGGGAAGTCAGGCCGCCCCGCCGAGCCGGAACCTCGACCCCGAGCGCCTCCCGCGCTCACCGGATTTCCAGCTTGTCCACGTCCTCGTCCTCGAAGTCGAAGTGGGACTTGCGGTTGTAGCTGCAGGGCCTGGTCACCTGGGGGACGGAGGGAGACCGTCAGGCCTCTGCTGCCCCTGGCTGCCCGCTCTCCCTGCACTGGGAGCCAGGCCCCCTCGTGCTCATCTGTGCCGGCCCTTGTGGGGCGAGAACGGCCACCTGCACGTCACCGGGGCCGCGGCCCCCACGCCGCCGTCCTGCTGGTGGCTCGCGTTCTGAGGGGCAGCCGGGGGCTCTCGTCTGCATGCACTTCCGCTTCTGTCTTAAGAGCCTCACTACTTCCAGTGAAACAAGCCTCCCTCCACTGCTCAGGGAAGACTGGGTGGGGCAGGCAAAACCCAAGAAACCCCAAACCAAACCAACCAAACAAAAAATCAACGTCTTGATAATCTGGCAAGTATTAATTTGTCAGCATTCAACTCAAAACCGGGTCATGCTGGAAGCAACAAACAGCCTTTCTGCCCAGGGAAGGAAGGACAGTTCCTAGGAATTCGAGCTTCAGGGCAGGAGGGGTCTTCACGTGGGGGGACAGCACCCCAGAACTCTCAGAAGTAAGCAACTGAGGGTCTTTCTGCCAAAGCCCCGGGGGTGTGCGTTTCAACTGCATTTGTGCCACTGAAACACCAACCTCAAAGTAAAACACTTCGTCAAACTGGGGGTTGTTGGTCTTCTTTTTCACTTTTGTCTTCTTTGCTTCCGACCTGTAATCCAGGGGGAAGATCAGGGCGGAAAACAAACACTGTTGATGCCGAATCTCTCGGCTGAGGCTGGGCCACCCAGCACGCCAGTCACGTGGCCTAAGGGCATCTGTTTGTCTCCAACCCCAGACGGTATATGCAAATCAGGGCCCTTTACTGAGCCAAAGGTACCCTACTGTGAAGCTCAGAAACGCCCTCTTTTCACAAAGCAACTCTGGGCAGTAAAGGAAACAAAAGGACGTTATAATCGCACACCCTCGTCTGGCTCACCTGCTCTCCCGAGCGGGGAACCCGACCTCGCCCGCCCCCTCAGCCGAGGCTGTACTTGCCTGCACGGTCCCGCCAGGGTCACCGTGGCGTAGGGGTCACACTGCCCGTTCACGATGGGGAGGCCCTGGCACTCGAGGATGCTGAGGAAAGAAGTGGGAGGTCAGGAGGGGACCCGAGGCCAGCGGGCCATCTCTCAAGGCCACCCTGGGGTCCGGGAGGGCAGCTGTCTCAACAGCTCTCAGGCCAAGAGCTCTGAGTCCCTGTAAAGTGCTTCCCAGGGGCTCCCGTCTAATAAACAGAGATGGATGCGCTGGTCAGCAGTCATGAGACATCTGGAGGCAGGAGAAGGTGTGCGTGCAACCAGGGAAAAGGGAAAAGCAGCCCGGTTGCGGAGGACACGTTGCTGGTGTCGACTGCAAAAAAACGCACAACAAATAATGTTGAGACTTGTTTTATTTGGTGGACTTTCTGAGGACTCCAGCCCGGGACGCAGCCTCTCAGAAGGCTCGTTAATTTGTCAGCATTCAACTCAAAACCGGGTCATGCTGGAAGCAACAAACAGCCTTTCTGCCCAGGGAAGGAAGGACAGTTCCTAGGAATTCGAGCTTCAGGGCAGGAGGGGTCTTCACGTGGGGGGACAGCACCCCAGAACTCTCAGAAGTAAGCAACTGAGGGTCTTTCTGCCAAAGCCCCGGGGGTGTGCGTTTCAACTGCATTTGTGCCACTGAAACACCAACCTCAAAGTAAAACACTTCGTCAAACTGGGGGTTGTTGGTCTTCTTTTTCACTTTTGTCTTCTTTGCTTCCGACCTGTAATCCAGGGGGAAGATCAGGGCGGAAAACAAACACTGTTGATGCCGAATCTCTCGGCTGAGGCTGGGCCACCCAGCACGCCAGTCACGTGGCCTAAGGGCATCTGTTTGTCTCCAACCCCAGACGGTATATGCAAATCAGGGCCCTTTACTGAGCCAAAGGTACCCTACTGTGAAGCTCAGAAACGCCCTCTTTTCACAAAGCAACTCTGGGCAGTAAAGGAAACAAAAGGACGTTATAATCGCACACCCTCGTCTGGCTCACCTGCTCTCCCGAGCGGGGAACCCGACCTCGCCCGCCCCCTCAGCCGAGGCTGTACTTGCCTGCACGGTCCCGCCAGGGTCACCGTGGCGTAGGGGTCACACTGCCCGTTCACGATGGGGAGGCCCTGGCACTCGAGGATGCTGAGGAAAGAAGTGGGAGGTCAGGAGGGGACCCGAGGCCAGCGGGCCATCTCTCAAGGCCACCCTGGGGTCCGGGAGGGCAGCTGTCTCAACAGCTCTCAGGCCAAGAGCTCTGAGTCCCTGTAAAGTGCTTCCCAGGGGCTCCCGTCTAATAAACAGAGATGGATGCGCTGGTCAGCAGTCATGAGACATCTGGAGGCAGGAGAAGGTGTGCGTGCAACCAGGGAAAAGGGAAAAGCAGCCCGGTTGCGGAGGACACGTTGCTGGTGTCGACTGCAAAAAAACGCACAACAAATAATGTTGAGACTTGTTTTATTTGGTGGACTTTCTGAGGACTCCAGCCCGGGACGCAGCCTCTCAGAAGGCTCGGAGGGACTCCTCTGAATAGGTCGGGGGGAGCCAGGATATACAGGAGCTTCTGCAGCAAAGACCAGGTAGTCGGAACACCAGAAGATTACCGTTAGTGAAAGAAAACCCGACATCTCCAGTTAAGGAAGATGTGTGGTGAGGTACGGGAGTCTGGGCTCACTGGAATCGTTCCTTTGACGTGCACCTCAGCTCTCTGGGGCCAGCGTGCTGTGCTTTCCCAGCCGGAATCACCTAAGGGGTGCCGTGGGGGCAGCCACAGCGGCTGCAGGCTCGGGGCCGCAACACCCTTTGTCTCCTGATCCGGCAGCTGACATTCTTCGTCCACAGTGGAGATCTCCCTGAGCGAAGCCCCTGCCCTCCCTTCCTAGGAGCTCGAGAGAGAGGTCCGCCCGGCCCAGCCTGCCAGGTAGGAACTGTGGTGAAGTCTGTGTTATCGGTGGGGACCTGAGGGCCCAGCACCCCAGGGGCTTAGAGCTCTAGGCCGGGCGTTGCCTGCAACGCACCTCTCGGGCCGGGAGGCCCCGTCTCAGGCTTCACTCTGCCGACCGCCCCGGCGCCTGGCCCCCTTTGGGTTCTGGACCGCAGTCACTCCAGCTCTTGGACTGCCCTTGTCACTCCTGCACCTGTCACCCTGGGCTGTCACTGGACAGCTCCTGCTCCTGCTTCTGGCTGGATGCTGGGCGCTGTGAACTTCACGTCGCTGGTGCCCGGATTCTGGGCTCATCCGCGCCATCAGTGGTTGGGGTCTCTTGTCTGGAGAGCAATTCTCGTCTGTGGCTTTGTCCGGGAGGTGCCAGCAGCCTTGTTCAGGGACAGCGCGGCCCGACCGCCCGGTGCGGCCCCTGGAGTCCGTGCTGAGGGTCGGAGTGAGCGCAGGCTCTCCACTGGGCTGGTGGAAACTCCAATGACCCCCAGCTCTATGGCCCTGTCACCCCTCTGCCCCCTCGCCTGCCCGGCCCTGAGGGACTCCACCTTGCTCGTTGGCGCAGGTCTGGGGAGTGCCACGAGGTCCCCTCCCCTGCAGAACGTGCCCACGGTGGCCTTGATGCCCCAGCTCCCATCGCCTAACCCGCCTTGGGCCCTGCTGGGGATGCCTTGCTGGCCATGTCGCCGACGCACCTCCAGGACGGAAGCTGGCCTGCAGCGACCTTGTCTGTTTCCCCACTTGGGGGCCTACCCTACTGTGAAGCTCAGAAACGCCCTCTTTTCACAAAGCAACTCTGGGCAGTAAAGGAAACAAAAGGACGTTATAATCGCACACCCTCGTCTGGCTCACCTGCTCTCCCGAGCGGGGAACCCGACCTCGCCCGCCCCCTCAGCCGAGGCTGTACTTGCCTGCACGGTCCCGCCAGGGTCACCGTGGCGTAGGGGTCACACTGCCCGTTCACGATGGGGAGGCCCTGGCACTCGAGGATGCTGAGGAAAGAAGTGGGAGGTCAGGAGGGGACCCGAGGCCAGCGGGCCATCTCTCAAGGCCACCCTGGGGTCCGGGAGGGCAGCTGTCTCAACAGCTCTCAGGCCAAGAGCTCTGAGTCCCTGTAAAGTGCTTCCCAGGGGCTCCCGTCTAATAAACAGAGATGGATGCGCTGGTCAGCAGTCATGAGACATCTGGAGGCAGGAGAAGGTGTGCGTGCAACCAGGGAAAAGGGAAAAGCAGCCCGGTTGCGGAGGACACGTTGCTGGTGTCGACTGCAAAAAAACGCACAACAAATAATGTTGAGACTTGTTTTATTTGGTGGACTTTCTGAGGACTCCAGCCCGGGACGCAGCCTCTCAGAAGGCTCGGAGGGACTCCTCTGAATAGGTCGGGGGGAGCCAGGATATACAGGAGCTTCTGCAGCAAAGACCAGGTAGTCGGAACATCAGAAGATTACCGTTAGTGAAAGAAAACCCGACATCTCCAGTTAAGGAAGATGTGTGGTGAGGTACGGGAGTCTGGGCTCACTGGAATCGTTCCTTTGACGTGCACCTCAGCTCTCTGGGGCCAGCGTGCTGTGCTTTCCCAGCCGGAATCACCTAAGGGGTGCCGTGGGGGCAGCCACAGCGGCTGCAGGCTCGGGGCCGCAACACCCTTTGTCTCCTGATCCGGCAGCTGACATTCTTCGTCCACAGTGGAGATCTCCCTGAGCGAAGCCCCTGCCCTCCCTTCCTAGGAGCTCGAGAGAGAGGTCCGCCCGGCCCAGCCTGCCAGGTAGGAACTGTGGTGAAGTCTGTGTTATCGGTGGGGACCTGAGGGCCCAGCACCCCAGGGGCTTAGAGCTCTAGGCCGGGCGTTGCCTGCAACGCACCTCTCGGGCCGGGAGGCCCCGTCTCAGGCTTCACTCTGCCGACCGCCCCGGCGCCTGGCCCCCTTTGGGTTCTGGACCGCAGTCACTCCAGCTCTTGGACTGCCCTTGTCACTCCTGCACCTGTCACCCTGGGCTGTCACTGGACAGCTCCTGCTCCTGCTTCTGGCTGGATGCTGGGCGCTGTGAACTTCACGTCGCTGGTGCCCGGATTCTGGGCTCATCCGCGCCATCAGTGGTTGGGGTCTCTTGTCTGGAGAGCAATTCTCGTCTGTGGCTTTGTCCGGGAGGTGCCAGCAGCCTTGTTCAGGGACAGCGCGGCCCGACCGCCCGGTGCGGCCCCTGGAGTCCGTGCTGAGGGTCGGAGTGAGCGCAGGCTCTCCACTGGGCTGGTGGAAACTCCAATGACCCCCAGCTCTATGGCCCTGTCACCCCTCTGCCCCCTCGCCTGCCCGGCCCTGAGGGACTCCACCTTGCTCGTTGGCGCAGGTCTGGGGAGTGCCACGAGGTCCCCTCCCCTGCAGAACGTGCCCACGGTGGCCTTGATGCCCCAGCTCCCATCGCCTAACCCGCCTTGGGCCCTGCTGGGGATGCCTTGCTGGCCATGTCGCCGACGCACCTCCAGGACGGAAGCTGGCCTGCAGCGACCTTGTCTGTTTCCCCACTTGGGGGCCGATCCCCCTCCGCCGGCACGGCTGGCTCACATGGCGTCAGCTCCTTAGTCCTTTGTGGCGGGAGAGGGGTGAGGCCCCCTGTCCTATCCTGGCCGGAAGCAGAGCCCTAACCCCATACTCAGATGCCGAGGATCTGAGTGCCCTGCCTCCTCACTCACTCCTGCGCGCTGGGCGGCCTGGGCGGCTGCCGCCCCTCTTGGGAGCCTGGTGGTCCTGATGCGTTACGGGACCTCTTCTCTCGGGGCGAGGGCCTGTCTCCTCCGCTCCTGCTCCAACGAGCAAGGTGGCCCCTTCTCTCTCCATTTCTCCACCACTGTGCTCCGCCCCGCTACACAGGCTGGCCCTCAGGGACTTTAGTGAATCTTTTCAACTCTTTCTCTTTTCACTATTCTTTCTGGAATTTCTGCACTTCTCTCCCTGCTATAACCTGGTCTGGGGTCATCTTCCTCCCTCTGTGAACTAACTCGTCACTAAACAAGTATCTTCAGGCACATTTCCAGGGACAGGCACAGAACCCTGAGCCAGCCAAGAGCTTGTGCAAGGGGCTGACACCCTGAGAAGCCCCCGGGGGCTCAGGGTCCTGGCAGCCACAGGGACAGCGGGTGGGTCACGCATGGGAGGAACACGCAGGGCGACCCGTCGGGTGGGCAGGTGGGAGGAGGTCTCAGGACAAGACCGACCCTCCCTCAGTCGGGGGGCTGCTGCCTCTGGGGCTGGAAGCATGAGAAGGGGCTCACTCGCCCCCTCCCGGTGCCAAAGCCCAGAGTTCAAGGCAAACGCATTTTTATCACATTCAGTTGTTGATCAGGAAGGTTGGGACAGTGGTGCATTTTGGATCTGCAGAGATAACGGTTTTCCCGGCAGCAGCTCAGACAGGAGGAGCGGTTCTTCCCGCAGCTGGCGTCTTGGAGAAGCGCTGCCAGATGAAGGGCAGCAGCCGCCCGTCAATGTCACTGCCGCTCCTCACAGACCACCGTGAGGAAGGCGCTAACCAACACGCTGACTGGCCCCAACTGCAGTTACACATGCCGGAGAAAACGAAAAACTGATACACTGACACCTGGATGCAAAACGCACAACAGGAAAACAGGTGTCATGGGCACAAGGTACCTTCCTCCCTCAAACGTCACTTCACCAGTTGCACAACCTGGGGGTCACAGCTCAGCTGTACAACCTGGGGGGTCACGGCTCAGCTGTACAACCTGGGGGTCATGGCTCAGCTGTACAACCTGGGGGTCACGGCTCTGCTGTACAACCTGGGGGTCACGGCTGCTTGCATCACATCCGACCAGAGTGTATTTCACTGGAAAAGGTATATTCACACCCCAGGCACTTGTTTAAGCCGATCCCATACACACATGTGCACACTCACACGTACACACCTGCACTCTCACATTCACACCTGCACACTCACCCGTGCACACCTGCACTCTCACATTCACACCTGCACACACGTGCACACCTGCACTCTCACACCTGCACACACGTGCACACCTGCACTCTCACGCTCACACCTGCACACACTCACAGTGCACACCTGCACTCTCACACTCACACCCGCACACACTCACACGTGCACACCGGCACTCTCACACTCACACCTGCACACACTCACACGTGCACACTCATCAAGCATACAGGGTAGAAGGGGCTCCGATTTCGGGGTCGAGGTCTGAGGTCAGGCCCCAGCTCTGCCCCCATCTCACCGTTTCCACAACCCCAACCTCTTTGCCTAAACGTCGCCCTGAGTAACTGGTTATTTGCAAAAGCCAAACGCGTCACCTCCAGGGTGAGCAAGGATGTTAAGAAAGTCATCTGTGGAATGCCCAAGTCTGAGAATCCTGAGTCATTTGTTTAAAAAACATGAGCCACCCCGCTCCCTGGGGGTTAGACAGTCCTGGGCAGACAGGCCGTGGCGGCCGTCCCGTGTCTTACCGCGTGGCCAGCTTGTGGCAGACGACACCCGAGTCGGTGATGACCTCACTCAGCCTCAGCGCCAGGTGGACCTTGCCCTGAAAGTGACAATGACAGGGGGTCACAGGGGGCCCACAAGCAGTGGGAGCTCTTGGGCTCCGATCACAGACTGGTGACACGTGACCCTGCGTGGCATCCACGCACGTCCAGCTGCCCGGCTCAGATCCCAGAGCATTAAAGAAGCTTCCAGCCCACTGGGCACGACGCTGAGAGCAGCCACTGTTCCAGAAGAAAGAAAAGGAAAAGGCACTGGAGGGAGCAGCATCCCAAATGGGCCTGACTGTCTGCTCTGGGCTGTGTTCACTCATGCGCCGCAGGCCCCGGGCAGGCGTGGGCAGCTCTGCCCAGGCGTCTTGGTGCTTCTGTGTCTGCGACAGGCAGGGTCGGAGGCCAGGAACCTCAGCTCTGCTCTTTAGGAAGGAAGCGGACGCTCATGCGCACTCTGGGAGGAGGGGCAGAGCAGCTGGGGTAATGGAGCAGCTGAGGCTGTGCTGCCCCCCGTCTGCCTGTGCAAAGGGGGCCGGCTGAGGACGGCGAGTGGGCGGGGCGGACACAGCCAGGGCGTCATCAGGGCCACGAGGAGAAGCGGGGAGACGAGCTCCCGAAAAGTCCAACAGGACGATGCATGATGCGTGTGTTTCCGTGAGTGAGCATTCGGTTAAATTAAACTGACTTTCCTTAGACACGGAGGTGAACTGGATCCATTGTCTCCAAGGTCCTTTCCGACTGAAACCCCTGGACCCTGCAGCCTGGGGAGAGCCTGTGAGGGCCGCCACGTCTCAGGAGAGCCCAGGACGCGGTGGGGATGGCTCACCGGCTGGGGGGGTCGATGTGGGGCGCTCAGCCCCGCACGACAGTCGCCCACGGCAGCGCGGGGCCCCGACCCCAAGCGGGAGCATCCGGCACTCCGGGCCGTCTGCACGGGGCGTGTGCGGACCTGGCCAGCGGCTCCTGGGCCCAGGATCCTTGCTGCTCTTTCCGCCCCAGGGAAGCCCACTCCAACAGCGGCCAGACCTTCCCACCTGCTGCTTCTAAGCTTGACCTGAGCCACCAGAGAAGCGTTTCGACAAAATGCCAGCAGCACCGATTATGAGAAAGGGAGAGGCTGGACCCGGACACGCAGCCTGAGGATGGGGGTAGCGGGGAGCACCCCCAGCTAGAGCCCCGCCCGCCAGACAAGAGAAAATAAACAAGAAACCAGGGTCTGGCCATGAGAAGGGTCAAGGGCGATACCTCCATCACCCCAGACCCTGTTGTCTCCTACACACCTCTCGGGCCCTGCACTGGTAGGTGACACAAGCTCCCCATGATAGCGTCTCCCACTCAGAGCAAACCAGCTCCGGGATCGCGAGCTTGGAAGCGAGCAGGTGCCCCGGGCTGCAGCAGCGTGGTGGTGGTGGGGGGGGGGGCGGCCTCACGCATCAGACACCTCGCCCACGACACTGACACGGGCTCCCGACGACACGGATGCCTCCCTGTGGGGAGCCCAGGCCGCGGGCGGCGCTCACGGCCGCACACGCGTCCAGGCCCCCCAGCCGCGGGCAGGGCTGGGTGCCGCCTTCCCGGCCTTGCCCTCACCTGCGGGCAGGCAACCCGCGACAAGTCCCGCGAGGTGGGACCAGCCCGAAGGCATCACAGCCACGCGGCCCGGGTGACACCAGCATCCCGACCCAGAGTCACATCTGTATCTGCGGAGGCTCTGACGGGGCCCGCCCCTCACGGGGACGCACTCGCCTAGAGCAGTGGCTCTTCTCACAGTGGCTCGGGGCGTCCGCCCAAGCGCCCTTCACCTGCCAGGCGCGGACACAGGGTCCACGGCGCACCGCAACCCTCGCGCGCGGCAGGCTGGTCTGACAGTGAATCCTTGCGGCTGGTAACTGGGGCGGCAGTGGCGGGGGGGTGGGTGGCCTCCCTGTGCGGGTGGAAAAAACAAAGTCCCCAGAGGCCAGTGGCGCATCCTGAGCTACCCGATCCTCAGCACTGTCCCTGGAGCGGGCACTGCCGTCCTTATAATAAAACAAGAACGCATAGACTGACGGCCTGGAAACCAGCCCAGCAGGAAGCTCAGCTGTCACTGGTGGCCCGGTCAGCCTGGTGTCCTTCGTCACACCCCAGGTGCACGGGCGCCCGCTCTGAGGCAGACGGTGGACCACGGCCGCTCAGACCGACGCATCCCCAGTGGGGGACGGACGCGGACTGTGACCCTTGGCGCTCCTCTCCTGGGGCAGCGCGTCCTCCAGGAGGGGGCAGATGTTGTCAGCTGATTCGTGCTGTTACATATCGGGGGCTTTGGTGGGGGGGGGGGCGGCCTCACGCATCAGACACCTCGCCCACGACACTGACACGGGCTCCCGACGACACGGATGCCTCCCTGTGGGGAGCCCAGGCCGCGGGCGGCGCTCACGGCCGCACACGCGTCCAGGCCCCCCAGCCGCGGGCAGGGCTGGGTGCCGCCTTCCCGGCCTTGCCCTCACCTGCGGGCAGGCAACCCGCGACAAGTCCCGCGAGGTGGGACCAGCCCGAAGGCATCACAGCCACGCGGCCCGGGTGACACCAGCATCCCGACCCAGAGTCACATCTGTATCTGCGGAGGCTCTGACGGGGCCCGCCCCTCACGGGGACGCACTCGCCTAGAGCAGTGGCTCTTCTCACAGTGGCTCGGGGCGTCCGCCCAAGCGCCCTTCACCTGCCAGGCGCGGACACAGGGTCCACGGCGCACCGCAACCCTCGCGCGCGGCAGGCTGGTCTGACAGTGAATCCTTGCGGCTGGTAACTGGGGCGGCAGTGGCGGGGGGGTGGGTGGCCTCCCTGTGCGGGTGGAAAAAACAAAGTCCCCAGAGGCCAGTGGCGCATCCTGAGCTACCCGATCCTCAGCACTGTCCCTGGAGCGGGCACTGCCGTCCTTATAATAAAACAAGAACGCATAGACTGACGGCCTGGAAACCAGCCCAGCAGGAAGCTCAGCTGTCACTGGTGGCCCGGTCAGCCTGGTGTCCTTCGTCACACCCCAGGTGCACGGGCGCCCGCTCTGAGGCAGACGGTGGACCACGGCCGCTCAGACCGACGCATCCCCAGTGGGGGACGGACGCGGACTGTGACCCTTGGCGCTCCTCTCCTGGGGCAGCGCGTCCTCCAGGAGGGGGCAGATGTTGTCAGCTGATTCGTGCTGTTACATATCGGGGGCTTTGGGGGAGGGTGGTATAAGGTAAATAAAACACAAACACACACACATCTCGGAGAGAAACCCCTGCAGAACAACCCAGGATCTGCAGCTCAGAAGTTCACACCCATCCTCACTGCACAAACAATCCCACCGCAAACACCAACGCCCGCGGTGGCGCGGGCCACACCCTGCACAGGGCAGGCAGGAAGTGTGGTTTCCCAGGCTCGGCCTCTGCAGGGCACGCGACCTTCCATGGATGCACAGCTACACACACAACTGCCCCCTCCGCTTGTTTTGACCCCAGCGGGAGCCCTCTCCCCAGGGAGGCGGTCACAGGCCCACCTGCCAGGCTGAGGGCAGAGGTGGCCATGCCTTCCATAGGGGCCGGAACCCCAGAGCGGGGGTCCAGCTGAATCGTGCTCGTTAACAATTAGCCCAGGCGGGACGTACTGAGACTTGGCCGGAGTCCTTGCACTGATGTTGGTGTGTGAGATGAGAAGAGAAACCTTAGGACAGAGCACTGAGAATGCTGATTTCATAGTTGCTCCCAGTCTCATTTAAGGAGAGTAAGGATAAGACGTTGTTTAAAAAAACAGCTGGGACTGAACAGCATCGCCCACCCTCACGGAACATCCACTGGGGTCGACCGACCTGGCCTAAAACACGTCAGCAAGTCTAGGAAAATAAAAATTACATCACAGCTGCTCTCAGACCACAGTGGAAATTGAACTAGAACTCAGTGACAGAAAGACAGTAGCTAGAAACTCCCCAAGTGCGTGGAGGTTAAAGAACACACTTGCACATAACAAGCAGGACAAAGAAGTTTCGGGAGAAACTGAAAAATACTTTGAATTCATTTCTTTTCATAAGTGAAAATGAAATAAAACATCAAAATTTGTGAAATGCAGCAAAAGCAATGCTTAGAGGGAAATTTAAAGCAGCGAATGCATAAATTGGAAAAGACGAAAGGCAAAAATCAATAATGTAAGTTTCTAACCTTAGGAAACTAGAAAAAGAAGAGAATTAAATCCAAAGTGAGCAGAAAAGAAATAATAAAAATTAGAGCAGAAATCAATGAAAATGAAAAGTGGAAATCAATACAGAAAATAAACAAACCAAAGCTGTTTTTTTGAAAAGATCAATAAAATTGGTAAAGTTCTAGATAAGAAAAAACAGAAATGAAAGCAGGGCTGTCACTCCTGGCTGCAGAAAATCAGCAGTGGGTCCGACAGGGGATCCGAGACATCACCCACCTGTCACCCAGGGGGGCCCAGAGCCCAAGGTGGACCCCACTGTAAGCCGGGGGCTTCAGCGAATATAAGGTGTCAGCCATAGCAAATGCACCCAGGACGCTAGCAATGGTTGGGGGAGGAGTACACGGGGTTCTTCATACACTCCCCTCAACTTTTCTGCAAAGATAAAACTGCTCGAAAAATAAAGTTTATTAATTAAGAGAGAAAAGCACCGGTGTTTCCTGTGCAATTTTCTCAGGAAGGCATCGGTCCCTGGTCTGCAGGGCCCGTGGCCGCAGGCAGGGGCCCAGCAGCACATGAGCCATCACTGCCCTGTCCTCATTCTGCACAGGGCCTACGAGGCCGGGCGGAGGTCAGCGCAGAGCAAACCCGGGCGCAGGCGACTGAGTGCTGGACCTGCAGCCCCGCTGGAGCTGAGAGCATCGGGAGGGGGCAGGGACGTGAGGGCGACCAAGAGAAGCAGCCACGTCCTCGAGGGGAGGCGAAGGCCACCCCCGCTTCTCCTTCCGACACTCCCGAGCCTTAGAAAGACTCTCGGGTCCTTGCAGGTGTATGGCTGCAGGCGCTGACTGTTGGGGAAATCCTCAGACAGGACGGCAGACACACAGAGGACGCTCCCAGGGCGTCCACTATGAGGCCAAAGTTACTGCCCTGTCGCTAAAGGTGCAAGAGGAGGCCACGGGCTGGGGGGCTGCGGCTCTGCTGGGGCAGCCCACCTGCCTCTGCCTTTTCGGAACATGTGCTCCAAGAACGAGTTTCACAGAAGCCGCTCAACGCAGAGCTCGCGGCTGCCGGCGTCCTCGGAGGATCGGCAGGGGCCCTCGCGGACGTGAGCATGCACCTGGCCACCCTGCCCGGCGCGGACCACGGGTAGGGCCGTCCCTGCCGACTGCCTCATCCAGAAGGTGCCCGGCTGGGGACAGGGAAGGAGCAGAGCGACGGGTCCTTTTTTTTTTTTTTTTTTTTTTTGGCTGCACGGGGCCCTCTCCCCGCTGCGGCCTCTCCCGCCGCAGAGCACAGGCTCCGGACGCGCAGGCCCAGCGGCCACGGCCGCTCCGCGGCACGCGGGACCCTCCCAGACCGGGGCACGAACCCATGTCCCCTGCATCGGCAGGCGGACTCCCAACCACTGCGCCACCAGGGAAGCCCTGACGGGTCCTTTTTAAAGAAGTGACTGAGCAGAGACCTTTACAAGCATCAGCTCCAGAGGGAGGCCAGACGCACTTTCACTCCTCTCTTCCCCCAGTTCCATGACTTGCTGGTCTCTCGTGGGCCCCGGCTTTGTGACACTCCCTGTCTGCTGCCTTTGTGAATCGCTGAGCAGATAGCTGGAGAAGCCGTATGTGTCCCCTGACCTTCGTGGCTGCAGAAGGTGCATAACTGCCCCTTCCGCGGCACGTGGGATCTTCCCGGACCGGGGCACGAACCCGTGTCCCCTGCATCGGCAGGCGGACTCCCAACCACTGCGCCACCAGGGAAGCCCTGACGGGTCCTTTTTAAAGAAGTGACTGAGCAGAGACCTTTACAAGCATCAGCTCCAGAGGGAGGCCAGACGCACTTTCACTCCTCTCTTCCCCCAGTTCCATGACTTGCTGGTCTCTCGTGGGCCCCGGCTTTGTGACACTCCCTGTCTGCTGCCTTTGTGAATCGCTGAGCAGATAGCTGGAGAAGCCGTATGTGTCCCCTGACCTTCGTGGCTGCAGAAGGTGCATAACTGCCCCTTTAAAGGCTGCTGCCCGTGGCACCTGACAGGTCTCATCTGGAGAGCACTTGCTCGGTGCCTGGAACTCAGCGGCCGCCACCGCCCAGTCCCGCTTCCATGGAATCACCAGTGGGTCGGGACCCATGTCACGGGGACCATCAGGGAATGGCCCGGACGTCCTCAGGCTGCAGGTGGACACACGCGTCACGTTCCCAAGGCTGCGGTGACCCAGCGGCTCCAGATCTGGACAGTGGTGGTTACACAGCCACACGCGTGAGACGCACCCACGGGGACGTGCAGGCACACGCGGGGCTGGTGAGACCTGAATGGGGTCGGGGACCCTGTACCAGTTATGTGGATGTCACTGTGCGGGACCCGGGAAGGGACATGGCCCTGCTTCCTATTTTCAGTCTTTGAGTATAAATAGGAGAACACACAGCTTGCTAACCATTACTCCCTGTGCAGTATTTCCTGTGGCTTCCTGTGACTCTGTAACCATTTCAAAATTAAAAGTTGGTTTTTTTTGAAAAGGCAAGAAAAAGGAAATGCTACACTTGGCAACAAAACAGAACTTAAATCTGGGGACTAAACAGCAGGCTCATCGCGGCCACAGGTGGCATCTCTCAAGAACGACGGCGATGGAGGCAGGCGGGGCCCAGGTGTAAAGCACACACGGCAAGGGGTCCGGAGGCGATTTCCTGGTCTCCTGAGCAGCAGTGGCCGCTGTCCTCCTGGACTTGGGGCTCCGTGACTAGTTCTGAGGAGTCCCCCAATTTCCGCAGCACGTGTGGGCCCCTCGGTCGGAATTAACTGAGCGTGAAGCACCCTTACGATGCCCCTTGGGCTAGGCTTCTCAAGGCGTCCCTCTGGCTGCCTCTTTGTCGAAGTTTGAGCATCGGCCCCAGCGGCCACCAGGGGCCTTGGCAGCGGACACCCGGGGCCTTGGCAGCGGACACCCTGAGCCGCCGGTGTAGAGTTCCAAGCCCGGCCAAGGCCCCAGGTCCACGAGGAGGCATGCTGATGCTGGGCCGGGAGCCCGGGGAAGGCCTCGCGAGGTGCCCACTTGGGGATTTTGTCCGCGACACCTGCTGTTTGACCCTGCTGTTCACAAAACCCCGCTTTACAGGGGAGGAAACCGAGGCTCAGAGAGCACCAGAGCCACACACTCTGCTGAGCTGAGAGCAGGCCCGGCTCGGCGCTGGCCCCGGAATTCCAGGCATTGTCTGGGCTCGGGGACGGGCTTGACTGGAAACTCATGCCAGGGTCACCAGAGAAGAGGAGATGCAGGCGGGCCCCCGACGGGCGTCTCCTGGACCCTGAGCATGGGGAGCGGCCCAGCTGGGGGAGAAACCCCCAGTCCTGGGGTGGGGGCACCTTGCACCGGTCAAGGGGTCACTCCCAGTTAACACATCGCCAGGGCGCTGGGCGAGCCCCAGGTTCGCTCAGGCCAGGGGACGTCACCACTCCGGTCACTCGCTTCAGTCCCAGCCCCGCCTTGCTGAGGGCAGGGAGCCCGGAACACACGCGGGCACCTCCAGTGGGCAAGGCCCACAGCCTTACGTCTTCTCACCTATTCTCTCTTTACCTTCAGTTACGCGTTGCATTCTTTCGCATGTTACATTTTTTAAGCTGCACGACTAAGTCCGACAGTAACCGATGGAACAAACCAAATGCATAAGCCCAGGAGGACATACGCAGGGGACAGCTTGCTAAGCCTTGCTCCCTCTGAAGACCAGAGTCCAGCGTCTATGTCTCTAACCACAATCAGGCCTCCTCCGCCAAGGCCCCCACGTCCCGCGGGCCCCGCGAGGCCTCACCTGCACCTCGGAGTCGGCGTCCACGTGCTGCAGCTGGAACCACGTGTCCCGGTTGTGGTACTTGTGCAGGTCTTCCTTCCGGATGGCCACCTTCCCTGGAAGGTCAATGCAGAGGAGACCAGTCACGAGGGCACCAACCCACCCAGCCAGCAGGGCTGGGAGCCGTCTCCACTACCTCTGCCAGTCACTCCAAATGGGAAATCCAGAACAGACCGTCGGGAAAGAGACGATGCAGTAAGAGCGACAGGTGCCACGTCCACCCTGAGCAGAGCCTGTCCCGAGGTCACTGCCACGGTGTCCACAGCCTGGGCGTGGACGGGAGCCTCTCCCCCCCCACCCAGGCTGTGGAAGACGGGGGCACCCGGTGCAGACCCTACAGATAAGGGAGCGGCTATACCAGGTGCATTGCTCAGGGCCCAGAGGGCGGCGTGGGGATGGGGTGAGGCAGCAGGCACCCGGGGCAGCCACGTCCCGGCCATCCCTGCCCCGATGCCCAAGCTGCAGAGCGAGGCAGGGCAGCGACTGCCGGGAGGGCTTTGCTGCAGAGTCCCTGGAAGTGTGCGGGTGCCCATATGAGCTGTGGCTTAGAATTCACGTGTGTGCACGTCTAGCTCACAGGCAACGCGCACAGTCGGCTCACACAGAGTGTGCACATGCGTGTGCGTGCACATCTAGCTTATGTAGCATGTGTGCACACGTGTTCCTGTCGGGCCCATGGAATGAGCCGGGTTATCGCCCGCCTGGGTCTATGAATCAGTGTCTCTCAAAGTGTAATCACAGGCCACCCGCATCAAAACAGCTGGAGAGTTTCCTAAATGCAAGTTCCCCGGCCCCATCCTGCGTGAGAAAACAATCTCTGGGGTGGGGCCCTGGAATCTTCGTTTTCACGAGGTCCCCAGGGAACTTCTGTGGGTCCCAAAGTTTAAGGATGTCTGCTCTCAATAGTTTTACATTCCTGACATAGGCTTGGTACTTAGGAGCTAGAATTTCAATGAAAATACACATGTAAATATACGTGTGTGATGTACATTACCTGACATAGATTTATAGTATTTAAATATCCATCTACCACTGTCATGTATTGTTCATTCACCTTGTTTATTCCAAAGACATATGTGGCAGCTAGCAAGCACACACCCCACAGCTTGGGAGGACAGAGGGCAACGGGCACTGGGCTGTCCTCCTGGCCCCACATCCCGTGGCCTCGGGGACGGGGACCACGCTGTCCACCAGGATAGGGGAGTCGGATGCTTGCCCACGTGAGCATCCCTGCGTACACATGTATATACATGCAATACACACGTACACACACATAATGTCTTAAGTACATTGTAAATCACATACGGAAATAGGGACGATAAAGGACAACATAAAAGTAAACGTTTTTTAAGTTCAGGTGTTCCTGGCATACAGCCCAGGACACACTGCCTAACTCGGGATCGCTGTCCAGTTACCAAAGGAGACGTTTTGGGCCCCTGGCGCCGTCTCACCCCGCGTCATCTGCTGCTTGGGACGCTCCCCAGGCCCCTGTGGCCACCCTGCAGAGCCCCAAGCTGGCTGGCCCACCCTGCCCTCACCCCAGGACGCAGAGTCCTCTCCGCAAAGGGACTGCTCTCCGTTTCCTGTTTCTTCAAAGACTTGTGCTTCTGAGGAGAAGCACCCGGCGGCCTCACAGCGGGGCCGGACGCCCCAGCTGATCCTGGGGCTGCCCACACATGCTGCCCGCCAGCCCCTCGCACCCTCCCCTCACGTCGCCCTGCAGCAACCCCGGCGCGAGGCGGCGGCTGCTGGTCACAGACGTGGCCGGCGTCCCGCCCGTGGGCTTCGGGCCTCGTCGCTGCAGCTCTGCCCTCTGTGCTTCTCCTACCAGTCCTCCCCAAACGCCCCCGTCCCACGAGGCCCTCCAGTGACGTCACCCCCTCTCCGGCCTCCCCTGGGGCCCGCAGGGCAGCCTCTGCTCTGCTCCCAGGGGCTCACACGAGGCCTCGCTGGGGCCCAGCCACCTGCTGGTTGGTAGGCTTAAGGGAAAGGACACTCTGCAGTTGGCTCCTGGGGGAGCTCAGACCATCACCCAACGTACACGCGGCGCGTCTCAGAGCGAGAGGCGAGGGCGGCTCGGCTGTGAGGACGGGGCGTCGGCCCAGAGGCCCGTGCAAGCACCCCGCCAGGCAGCCTCCACGGTCCCTTCCAGCGCGCGGTGCCCCAGGGGCCTGCACCCCTCTCCTCTGGCTTGTGCCTCCTCTGAATGTGCCGTCCCTTTGCTAAGATGCACTGCGGGCCCACGGGTCGCCAGCTCCCAGCTGCTCGACGCTGAGGTTCCTCCCGAGACGTGCGCTTGAAAGGCGTTAGAAAATGCTTGCTTCTCTCTTGTTAGCCCATCTTCCGTCTAGTTTTGTAGGGGTCCAGCCGGGGAACCCAGGTGGGTGAGAGAAGGGTCTTGCCCTGCAGTCTTCACGCCTGGTCTCCAGACCCGACAGGCGCACCCACCGGGCACAGACGGGAAGCTGGAAATAAAGCAGGGACACGCCGGCCCGAGTGCCACGGGCTGAGTGCGGCGGAGTCGGGTCTGTTTACTCCCCACCATCACCTGCGGCAGCCCCGTCTCCCTGCCCACTGTCCCCGCAGCACCTCAGCACGCTCACCTCCCACCGTCACACAGCCTCGGGAAAGGCCAGGCTCGGCGGCTCAAGGCCAGCCCTTCTGTCCACTTGCGAGGTGGACGCAGCACAGCTGGCTCCGAGGGTCAACACACTGCCCACATCAACCTCGCTGGCTCAGCTCTAGCCACGCGGACCCATCTGCAACCAAGTCCTGCCCAGACACAGGCCTCACAGGGCACTGAGGCCACGGCACGCAGAGTCCGCAGGTGCAGGGCAGGGGCAGAGGACAGAAGACACACAGCGCACAGGCTGCAGAAAGAGGGGCTCCACAGGGACTCAGAGAACCGGAGCTACCGGCCACACAGGCCTCTCTCCAGCCAGCATCAAGTCACAAGGACTAACCCCACCCTAACCCCGGTCCAGCCCCGCCCTGCCCCTAAACCCCGCCCCC